CCAAGAGAGATTTAGCACATTCAGAAAAAAAGATTAACAACTGATTTTGAAACCTTGTGAAAATAGAAATGTCTTGCTAGGCTATCTTGAGGAAACATCAAAGACGGGCCAAAATGAATTTCCCTCACTATAAAATGCTTTAGCTCTTGCTCTGCCAGTACAAAGCCCTGACTTGTATCACCAGCATGCATTCTATCCTTGGTGGTAGAACACAAGACTTCTAATGGTAATCATAGCTGATGGGTAGAAGCCTCTGATATCAGAAGCCTTAGATATCATAACAAGCGTGTTTCCCCGAAAATGAGATACGGTCTTATATTAAGTTTTGCTCCAAAAACACATTAGGGCTTATTTTCAGGGAATGTTTTATTTTACAGTCATGTCATCTTCTGGTTGCTGCACAATGTTGCACAGTGGTAGAGGGCGGGGTTTCACTTAACTAGGGCTTATTTTGGAGGAGGGATTATGAGCATCCTGAAAAATCATAGTAGGGCTTATTTTCAGGTTAGGTCTAATTTTTGGGGAAACAGGGCAGATATGGGATTTTAGGTCTTATTTTTGGGGAAACAGGGCAGAGATGGGATTTGTTTTTATTTCTTATACTATAAATTCAGTAATTCCCCATTCTGGGAGCTCTACTTGAGAGACAGGTATTTTACAGAAACCTAGATGTGGCTTACCTGGGATAAATAGTCAGCTGGAAGGCTGTGTGAGGCTGAGCTTGATTAGTTCTACTCAACTTCTTTCCCCTGCCCCAATGCTAGCTGGGAAGTTTCTGTCTGAACAGGAAGCTGGGTGCAGCTAGGCCTTGTTGTTTAGTCGTGACCTCATGGACCAGAGCACGCCAGGCCCTCCTGTCTTCCACTGCCTCTCGGAGTTGGGTCAAATTCATGTTGGTAGCTTCAATGACACTGTGCATCCATCTTGTTATCTGTTGTCCCCTTCTCCTTTTGCCTTTACACTTTCCCAACGGGGTCTTTTCCAGGGAGTCTTCTCTTCTTGTGAGATGGCCAAAGTATTGGAGCCTCAGCTTCAGGATCTGTCCTTCCAGTGAGCACTCAGGCTTGATTTCTTTCAAAATGGATAGGTTTGTTCTCTGCAGTCCAGGGGACTCTCAAGAGTCTCCTCCAGCACCACAATTCAAAAGCATCAATTTGTCAGCAGGTCAGACTTCTTTATGATCCAGCTCTCACTTCCATACATCGCTACTGGAAAAACCACAGCTTTGACTATGCAGACCTTTGTCAGCAAGGTGATGTCTCTGCTTTTCAGGATTCTGTCTAGGTTTGTTGCAGCTCAGCCTGAAAGCCTTTTTGTAGAGGTTTTTCTCCCAGGTGAGCCATATTTAGGTATCTGTGTCTAAGGGAGAACTCTCAAAATGAAGACATACGGGTTTTGAAGTCCAGTCTATAATCATAAATCCAATATGCTTAGAGTTTTCTAGGTTTTATACGCTCTTTGAATTAGAGCCACAACCAAACAGGACAATAGTGCTGATGGAATGGCACTGTATTATGTAATCCTAACAGCCACATACTAGAAAGCATTCCAATTGCCACATTTTTATACTAGCTACACTTTCTGGACGGCCATTATAGAGCACACACAGTGGCCTCATCTGGATGAGTAAGGCAGATGTAACTGTGCTGAAGAGAAACAGTATGGTATAATCGACAGAGCATAAGACCACACTCTGGAGAGCTGGATTCAAATGTTCATTACGCCATGTAAACTCACTAGTAGTATGGCAGTAGTAAACCATTCCTTGCAGATCTCACTTATTTAAAAAGCATATTGCATCATTTTATTTATATCCTTTAGGAAAGATCCAAGAATGAGACAGTGATAGAATAGACAAACTACACTACCCTTTCCAAATCAACAAGTCTATCTAGACTGCATCTCGGTTTGTTAACTCACATTGAGTTTATTCCTGTACACAATTTATGTCTGTAGATTCAAGACTTAAACAACTTCATTAACATAACTTACAAAAAACAGAGTAGTAGCATCCATTTACTGCTGACAGCAACCTCCTCCCTCATGCTAGATGATCTCTTACAGTTGTTTTATATAGATCTTATGTAGCATGGGGAAAGGAGAATACTGCAGAAGCCCATAAACTGATCATCAAGGGACTGAGACATAATCCTCCAGTACCACTTTCAGAGAATACCAAATCATATAGGACTAAAGTCATTGAAGCCCCATATAATACAGGTGTCCCTTAAAAACCTTGTGTTTAATGATACTGAAAGCTGCTGAGAGATCAAGCTGAACCAATCGGAATACACTTACCCTGTCTAGTTTCCAGTGGGGTTGGCCCTACCATCACCCAAAGTAAGCTAGTTACTTCTGACAAAAGGCACTAAGAGTGGCAGATCTGCTGCACCAAACATGCCCTGGTAGGGTCCACTGCTCTGTGAAACTCTCCACAACTAGGAATTTTGTCTCGCTGTGAATGTTGTAATCCCTCCAGAAGTACAAATGAGAGGGATATAGGCAGCAATGGTGCATCTTTGGCATCCAATCATCTGCTACAAAGAAGATGGATATGGTGGTGGAAGCAGCACTGCATCCCATTTATTCAAGAACTCATGTCTAAAATGAAGAGGAGGCAGTGCTGCATTACTAAAGACTAGTTCCGGCTGTACAGAGCTGGATCCATTCTAGTAATCTCCTACAGGATCATTTGAAGCCCAATACAAAACTGCATGAAGAAAGAAAATCCAACTCTATGCAGTAGGAACTGGTCTTTAGCGATGACAGGTGTACAGTTGCTATGGCTGGCTCCTCCTTTTCCTCTGCTTCTTCCTTGGGTAAGAAATGAGCTTTACCCCTTCCTCCTCCTCTTAGCCAGAAGCTTCTTGGACGAATGCTGCCAAGGGCTAGTCAGGAATTGAGCAGGTGCCGTTGGCCCTGCTGCTACCCACATCCTAGACTCTACCTAATAGCTGGGCAGGAAGGTTGAATAAGGAAGCAGGCATTGTGGCTGCCTCCCATCTCTCTTTCTCTCTCACACACACACACTCACTCACACACACAAACTATGCGATAGCTGGGCACTCCACTGCTGTTTTATCCTCTGCTGAGTGAGGCACATGTGTCTCAATGCGCGGCAGCAACACCTTGCTTCCAGAAGCCGCATGAAAACTTTGGCTGCCCCGTCTCCAAACAAAGTTGATTAGCAAGATGATCAAGGAAACACCAGTCCATAATCTAGGACTTAAAAAGATCTTACACCTGGGTACGTGTAGCTATCATTCCACTAAATATGATGCCCTTCCCAAGACAAACGTTGAGTCTGGTCAACAATTCTCAAAATGGTAAAATTAAGTTTTTTAAGTAGAATTCTTAATACTTTAACATAGCAGGGAAATGACCTTCCTCTAGAGAGGCATTTACAGTCCTCCACCTGTCTCCTTGCAGTTTTTATCAATTGGGAACATAAACCTAACAAACAAAGGTTTGGCCTCAGGCCTCCAAAAAGCTCATGCCTGTTCTCAGCCTGAACTTAAAACTCAAAGGTTGGTAATTTTGAAATATAAAAAACAGCCCAGTATTTGAGAATATAAAAGCATGAGCAAATTAATCTAAGAAATCCAGTGTTCCAAGAAATTGGACAGAAAGGTTACTTTTCCTCCAAGGTAGATTTGTTTCAAGTACTGAATCGGGGATTTTACCAGAATTGCAGTTAGAATATTCTAACCTGAATAAGTGAAAGGTATGAAGGAGCTGACTCACCAAATCTCCACAGATTCAATGGGCCTACTCCAGTGTGTGGTTCACTATACAATGCAACAAGATTTTGACCATTTTTTTTGGCCAAAATATTGTTGCACAAAGTATGCTGATACTATTCCTGAGTGACTAGCTGCCAAGTGGGGTTTTTTAATGGATTACTTTACCTTACTGCATTGCATGTGTTTTAGTGTTGCTTATGTTTTTAGTATTCATTTGATCCTTTTACAGTAGTATGGTATACTTACTGTTAGCTTAAATACTGTCCTTTAACTTTAAGCCATCTTGAAGATGGCTGGGCTAAAAATATTTTAAACAAAACAAATAAGGGAGGTGAAATCATCAACAATGACAGAATGCTGGTATTAGTTTCCGCCTTGAGCTCACAATATTTACACAGGATTAAAGCAGGAACTCTTTAGATGCAGGCTATCTGCTGCTGTTGGTGACATCATCTCAGAATGGCATACCTCCTAAAACAGGATGTTTCTTTTTAAACAATAGTATATTGTTATTCTTCTACCTTTGTAGTAAGCCAACTAAAGTTTCTAAGATTAACAATTTTGAAATAAATATATACACAAAGTCAGATAATGATTAGAATGAAACAGTATATAAAACTCAGGAAAGAACAAATATTTTAAATAACAATATTGGGTACAAAGGAGAGCAAAGCATATCGATGTGAAACATTAAATCCTAAACATGGAAGCTAAAGGCATATACAAATACATAAATAAACTGAAAATATACTGAGAGAAGGAAGAGTGCAAATGAAACCAAGTGCAGAAAGAACAGTAATATGAACAAGAAAATGCTATAGGTTCTTTCTAATAATATATCTTCATCAAGAATATTATTCACATCCTTGGCGCTATAATTATATTCACAATCCAAAATAATCAATTTAAAATATTAAAAAACTTGATACGTGAGGAAAGGAAGCTAGATTCCATATTATTACAATAAAGAAATTCTGAAGTATGTCTGTCCATTATATGTAAAGTATTTCCTGTTAGGCATGTGGTTTTATAGGTACAGTATAATATCCAGATATATCCAATGGAAAAGTGTTTAAGAGCTCTTATGGTACATTTCTCAATTCCTGTTATTTTAAAAATTACCACAGGAATCAGAACACAACAGGATAACAGATATGTTTTATACTTTTCTTATGCCTCTCATAATGTAAAAGACTTCAGGTTCCACTACAAACATTTCCACAAATTAATTTTCAGGTGTATGGAGGAGCATCTCACCTTTGCCTTTTCCAACTGTGTCTGGGCCTGTCGTTCTGCCTCTCTCCGCACTGCCTCTCTGTCTTCCTCAAGAGATACATCTGAATCAGATGGACGGCTAGTGTAGGAGTCCGCTGAACCCTGGACAAGAGGAAGACAAAATACTATTAGAAATAAAAGAATGGGTATTGCTTTAAAAATTAGAATACTGTAAAAGCTCAGAATGCTCGCATTATTTTCCTTCCAAAGAGACTCTGATAGGGATCTTTGTTAAAATTACTTAAAACCTGTGTGACCTATAAAGAAAAAATAATTAGCATGCAAATTGTTTAGAGCTTCAGGCAGTTCCAAAAACTATAAACCCTTCTGTACCTCTGCACTGTTTGCTTCTTATTCTTACTGGCATATGCCTTTTGCTTTACAGAGCTAGTTTCTGTGAAATAACATCAATGGTGCAGTGCAGGGCTGAAGGGCAAGCAGCTGTTTCAAGGATATACAAGCAAAGCCACAAACAAGGCAATTTGGGTCTTCCTAAAGACACCGTTCAAGCTAAAAATACAAAGGTGGTAAGAACAACTTTTACTCATGAACAGGATAGCAGACCTAGCTATAAACTGTAAAATTCCGTGAAGATCTCCTTTTCAGCCAATACTCTTTCTTCACCAGGAAAAAAAAAACATGGCTCAAATCTATCCCAGCCGTCAGCAATGACCACAAATCAAAAGGCAGCTGACACAATATGTCTGGAGTCAAGCATATGTAAAACCCCTGATCACAATGCCAGAACAAGTATGTAAACAACATACACTTCTGTTTCCGTTCTTTTCCAGGCTGCAATACAAAGAATAAAAGCCTGCTACTTCAAACATAATGAATGCAAGCAGTCCTTCCCCTCCCCCCCACCTGTGAAGCAAAATATGCCAGCAAATTGAAATGTAGAGCTTACACAAATATCAGAATTCTTCAACCGTCCTCCTTTGGCTCTTTTCAGAAGCCTGATCCAGGTGGCCTTCATTAGCCAGACAGCTTAGTTATTGTCCGCAGCTGCAGAGCCCAGCACTGATTCTCATAAAACATGTGCACAGCAAACACCGCAGAATCACTGGTCTTTTCCTATCCATGCTCTGCTGCAAGCTCTTTCCTTCACTTTCCTCAGGTTTGCAAGTCCTCAATATCTCTGTTCTAGTGTAAGTAAATTCTTAATTTTCCCATGGCTTCAAGATGCAAAGATGTTTCATTAATTCAAAGGGGGGGGGGCTCCAGACCCAAGTATATTGTAAGAGAAGCTACACTGATGTAATCATCAGCCTACTCTGAAACAGAGTCTCCTTGCTTTTGTTGTTCTTGTTTTTCAACTACCTTAACTGCTTTTTTAACTATTTAAATTCAGTGTTATTTTTTTAAAAAAGCCTTTACAAATGCTGTGTAAAATGTAACAGCAAGTGCAAAGTTCATTCCATCTCTTCAGATCTCCGGTATGTGGTGGGGGTGGGGCAAGAAGCTTTTCACACCACTGGGCATGCTCCATATGTACAGCCTTTTACGCAGATGCTCACATCACACTGTGTTGCTAGTCTATGTCAAATTACCATTCTGCATCCCAAGGGTAAACAGCCAGAAAGCAGCAAGGTCTCTGGAAAGCTAAAATAGCTGGTATTGCTGTTTGTTTGTTTATTTCTCATACTCGTCACAAACTGTATTTCTTTCTCTGAGAATCTGGTCTGTGCTACAGACATTGCTTACTCGGTTTTAAAAATGACAGTGAACAGCACCCATACTGCAAGGATACATCCTATATTAAACTAATGTATTCTGTGAGAATAACTAGAAATGCATTTTTACAGATTCTGAAAAGACATAAATCATAATATTAAAAGACATGTGTAGAATGGTAAAATGTATTTACAATAATAGCAAGCTGTCACATGTATTGACAACTGGCTAAAATACATTAAAAAGAATGAGTATAGGAGTGGAAATTTCCCCATTATTGCTCCCACATCCTTCCTCTCACCTTTTTAAGACCACTGAACTATATTGGTTATTTGTATGTGCACATGAGAAACTGCAGAAGTTGTCATGACTCAAAAACCAAGAAACCAGATTGTCACCACCTGAGTAGAAGGATTCCATAATGTGGGTGTTTCATATTCTTTTTCAGGCGTACCAGAGATTATTATGCACACTGGATAGACTCTTGATAAAGGCCATGAAACAAGCAAGATGGCATATGAAAAATAAGAACTGCAAAACTTGTTGAGACTGCCGATGTATCAAATATGGCCAGGAATTAAATATGGACTTTTGAGATACTACACATCATAGATTTTTCATTACTAACTCTGGATTCCTAATGTGCAATACTGTATATGTATTGGTTGATGTGTCAACTGTAATTGATAGTAGTTCTGTACAGTACTATATGCTATATACTGTGAGGTGGTAGAGTTCTAAACAATAACATTCTTGTTATACACATTTCATACATTTATTATATTGTATATTGTTGTTGTATATACTGTGAAGAGTTAATTTCAGTAGTAGTAGTTTCATTCCTTACTCCCTAATTATCAAAATGTATGTAACCAGTCATGTGTGAGCATCTCTCACGGTCCATTCCATGACAACATCAAGAGCAGTTACAGAAATCTTTCACTGAGCAACAAATCTTTTAAGGGGCCAACAGGGTCATTAACTTAAAACACCTAATTCTCGGCACCAGGGAATTAACTTTACTCCCTCAGTCCTGGGGGACTTCCCTCTATATAGTCTTTACTGGGAGGGGCAGAGCTCCACCTCCTCTACGAGATCGAGGACCTCTTGCAGATGGGCCAAGTATAGGGTCCCGCAGCAGGGGTACTGGATACACACTTCCAAGCATCCCTGGAGTTGAACAGTAAAGGTTTCCTACCCTGATTCCCCTCCCAGCTATATGTATGAACTCCACATGGACTTCACTATTGGCTCCCATATAGTAGGGAGAAGTGGGATGCTGCCCTTCATGGGTCTCAGATGGAAGCTGGCTGCTGGGCTTCTCCATTGGTGCCATTTGCCCTTGGTGTGTTTTCTGCTGGCAGCAAACCTGTGTTAGTTCTCAAGCCTCTGAGACTCTCAGCACTTTGCCTGGTCCTGACAGACGTGGGCACCTTCTTTCAATGACACAAGCAGCTCCACCGAATAGCCGATTTCGGGATCATGTCTGGATATTGTCTCCTAGCTGGCCTTCAACTGCCCACCAGTCCTCATGTCCGCCTCCTCAAGTCAGAGTCCTGCCATGGTCACACCCTGTGGCCTCAAGGGTGTAGTCTGTTTTCCCTTTGCCAACAACCAAGTCCACATATGAGCTGCAAGTAGGTAATCCAGCCAACTTTCTCTGAGAGCTGGAGAGCCCAGTCTCATAGCAAGGGTGGACCCTGGCGCAACCAATATTGTCAGTAATCTCCAGCAAATTCTGCATTTTCTCTTACATGGACAGAAATAACTAACAGAATTCTGATCACTGTTCTGAGACAGAAAATACAGCAAGTCCTAGCAACATTTTTCAGACTTAATTATAGACCTTGTTACCCAACATTAACCAAGAAACAGATCAGTTCCAGCACCAACCTCTAGTATTGATTTCAAGCTTTTGGAGATCATTGGCAAAATTATCCCTTTACTCCACAAGACATAGGAGATGTGAACTGAGCATCTCCTTTGTGAAAAGCTTGGATATAAATCCTCACTTGTTTTATCCTCACACACAAGGCCAAGGAACCACAGAATCCTCCTTCAGATTCTTTGAAAGTAAAAAGTATTTTGTGGAGGTTTCAGCAAGTGATGGGAATAAAAATACGTTTTTGTGCAAATATTTATTTATTAGATTTCTATCCTGCCAATCTACACCAAAGGTCTTCTCTGGGCGATTAAAGCCAATTTGCATAAATATATTTTAATGCAAATAGTGCAAAATGACTCTGGGTGCTTTGTTGCATCAACTTTTAAAGATCACAAACAGTAGATTGTGGTTTTGATTTTGGTTTTTGGAAAAACAGTTCTGTTTGCTGACTCTGCAGTTTGCTTCTCAAATGGAAAGCACAACGACAGTTTGCACATATTATACAGACACTAAGAAGAAAATATAGCACTTCTCATCTCACTCTCCTTTACTAGAAAGGAAGCTCACAAAATTTTCTTGTCAAAGTGTCTCATTAAGCCGATACAGCTGTGAACGAATAATTTAGTTAGTATTCTTTACATTCCTAATCCATAAATACCACAATAGCTGTTGCTACCTAGACACCAGCCAACATAGAGGAATACTGTCGCTTACACAGAAGGGATAAAAACTCTAAAATTAACCTGCTGTTACTGAGAAGTGGTCACTTTGTGACAATCAAAAATAGCACTCCTTATCTCATTCCTTCCTGGAAGAAAGAGCTCTTGCATGGTTTGTAAATTCCTTGGTGATACTTATGTCTCGTGGAATTAAAACATCCCAAACTAACAAGAACTAGAAATTTAGTTAGTATTTTTTACAACTCTTACGAAAATTGAAATTGGTGATCCGGGCCCTTTGTTGGTGATAGATCTTACAACCAGGATGGGTCATCAAAATGATTTAAATCATTACTCAGAAATACCCAATTACCTTATATGTGCTCCACCTCAGAGTATACTTTTGCTTTCTGTAACCTTTTCACAACTCAGACGTATGTTTTAATTTTAGAATGCTCATAGTTTGCATTTTTTTAAAAGATTGTATTATTTTGAAAATAATCAGATAAGTGTTTATTGTTTAATGTCTATTCCTGTATATTTTTATTTTTTGTTATATGTACATGTTATTGTATTTTTACCTGACTGGAGCCTCCTAGAGTGGTCGCATTGACCAGATAGGCAGGGTACAAATAGAATAAACAAATAAATAATAAATAAATAAAGTACTGCAGTTGCATCAGAAAATATATTGTTATTTTGGTTACCAATAACTTCAGTCAAAGTTGGAAAGCAAGCTGGCCACATCTGTTATTTCTCACTTCCATAGATTTTGGCTGCCTAGTGCATTATCTCTTAAGATATAAACCCAATTTGAGAACTGCAATTTTTCTCATTGTATTTTCCAGACTAAGTACTAGGCTAGAAATTAGCCCAAACAATCT